TGAGATATCAAATTAATTTAGTCTCTACTATCAGTAATACCCTTTAAAATATTCGGGTGTTACACCCGTGCCCGCGGATAAAATTGTCATCCCTAATGATAACGAATCAGAGCCTGCTAACCACCATTTTGATCAAACATTGCAACCTTTTGAACAGATCCAAAATCAGGAAGGTAAGGATTAGTATAGTCTCTGCTCTTGTGATTTTGAAACTTCACACTTAAATCTAAATGTCCAGAATACGTGATCCTAAGGGTACATGGTCCCGTATGCTTAGGAAGAAGATACTTAGGTATACTTCTTCCATCCAAAGCATCTTTCATAGAAGTTGCAATCTTTGCATATGAGAATTGAACAAGTGCTTGAAATCTTGTCTTCTTAAATGTAGTAATCTTATGTACAAATCCAAAGGCTGAAATATCCAAAGACAAGAAATAGTGAATAAAAAAATTGCAGCAGATAAGTTTCGGACATGAAACTGGTGTGCATCCATTGAATTAAAGGAAGTCATGGCCAGAAAACGAAAAAACGTTTTGTCATGTCGAGGAAATCCTAAAACCTAAATCGCACCGCTACAAAACCTCCATTCAACTTCATCGTCAACCATCTTCAATTCAAAACCACAACTAAACTTGCGAAAATCCAAATCGCGAAAGCCAAACCACAAATCTTCTTTCACGAGCCCTGTTTTCTCCTCGTTCAACTTCCATGGCCCTAATTTACATTTTCTCCTTGTTCAACATTTGATGCTGAGATTTGTCAATGAAGAAGAAGCCAAATTTGAAGAAAAAGTGCTTCTGATTAGGGTTATTAGGTGAATTAGTTTTTTTGAAAGCTTTTGACACCTTTTTTTTGACCACTTAATGACAAGGACATAATTGTTACGATTTTTCAAAATTTAAAACTTAATTGAAATCGTTTTCAACAAGAGAATCCACTTAAAATTCCCTTACAAATACGAAAATCATCCAAAAGTTTAAATCTTATTATTTCTTATTTTTATTTTAAACTTAATCCATATTTCTTTATCATGAGAACCTTGTGTGTTTATACAATATTTTGTTAAGTTTTCATACATGGTTTTTAGATGTTGAATACTTTTATAAAATAGAGAAAACATCCTTACGTCTGGACAAGTATACTTATTTTCTAATTTTGATTTATTTTTCCTCAAATATTTTTAAGAAATATTTAATCATTTCTTTTGCATGAAACATATTATCATCAACAAATTAATGTTTTAATGAATATTATATTTTAAAATTCACTTCTCATTCACACGAGTACTTCGATCTTTATTTACCAAAGATAACGCTGTTAAAGATGTTTTACCTTTCATAGTTGATTGCTTCAATCCTCCAAACATTCTCATACCTAATTCTTGTATCGCATACATCAATGCATAAACACTTTTTCTATAATATACTCCGATCACTGCTAAAAGAGTTCCACAAAAACTAATAAAACCCACAGCAATTTGTAACTAAAGAGAAACAATTATCGCTTAAAATTTAATATCTCAACTTTGCAATCTTATTCAATGTCACATTTGAAAATGAGGTACCATATAAAACCAGAAAATTTAATTTTTCAAAAACTCTACCACAATATTTCTCATGTTGCACGCTCCTATTCAAAACTTTTACCTAAACTATACAAAAGTTAAAGCTTTGATTTATTTATTTTTTCAAAAGAGGAACTTGTCAGTTTTTAAAAGACCAACAAACGAACCAAACTAATTATACCATAAATTTAGTGACTAATTGCATAAAACCAAGCATCCTGAATCACAAAAATCAGTAATACGAAGATGTTAAATTTGTACTTTAGTCCTCATATCATGGAAATAGGACTCCCAGGTATATTCTTCTTTTCTTTGGTTTGCTCTATAATTTTGTTCTGCTGGCCCCGCTGGAGTTCTTTTTCAGTAGCTTTTGAGATATCTTCCTTTTTCACCACCATGCATATTCTCTCATTCACTGACACATTAAGTCTTATGTAAGCTTTATCTTTTCTCGTACCATCAATATGTGTAAAAAGGCAAGATACAAATATTTTAATATACTCAAAACAGCAAAACGGATCATACTTGTCATTATAATTAATACACTCCAACCATAAGTTGACTGTTGGCTGTGTTAAGGATGCTCTCCCACCCAAAGGCATTCTCTCATTGTTTTTGCTTTAAAATCATGACATTATCCTTCATTACTTTTTCACTTTCTCCTTTTCTTTACAAATACAAAAGTTTACTTTGTTATGACTATTTTACCCCTATATGAGTGTCAAATAGAATCAAACAACCTTTTTTTTAGAGTAAATGAACATAAATGAGCACATCTCCTAAAGCTTTTGTTGACGTAAACGTAAAGACACGAGTATTTTAAGCGAACATTGAACTGCAGAACGTATTCGCTTCACATATCTAGCATGGATATAGATTATGGTCCTCTTATGAAAATTTTCTTCATAAAATTCTAAAAGAAAAATACAATGAATTTCTTCATAAACTAAAATTAGCTTAAAGAATAAATAGTTAGTAAGAATTCTTCATATTAATTTCTCTAAAAAAAATTACTTTTAGTTCATGCATAGGCTAATTTTAGATTATGGGTAAATTAATTTCATATTTCATTTTTTTTTTCTTTTCTCAGAAGGTGTTAGGGGAGACTATTGAAGAGGATGCAGTGACAGATTCATTAGATAAAGGTGCAGTACATTGCAATGAAGAAGGTGCATTAGTTGTAGGTAGTTGAATACATGATATAGTAGGAGTAATAATAGATCAAATAACTGGGGATGCTAGAGAGAACTGATTAAAAAAGGCAGAGAAAAGTCAGCAAGATTAAACAATGGTGCAAATAGAACATACCTGCAGATCTGAATGATGGAATCAGAGTCAGGGCACAATGTTTGGGCCCAAAATTCATAGCCCTAGATACAAAAATAATTCCATGTCATTACGTGCTAAAAAAGATCATCATTAAATAAAACAAATACATGACGTATACAACACAATAGCAACAAAGATCATTTCCCACTACGCAGAATAAGCTACATGAATCAATTCAGACCACTGAAACCTAGGCCCTTCTTAATACTAAGTTAAATACTCTAATTACTCTTATTCTTAATTACTCTAATTACTCCTAACAAGGGCTTCAATTGGTCGTCATAGATTATCAGAATCCTGACAGATTGTACCATGTTTTCCTCAATAAGTGTAACTCCTATTTTCTCGCCAAAATACTCATTCCTCCTAATCTTCATATTCTTTTATGTTCACTTCTATATTGCAACGTTGTCATCTATGCAACACTCGATTGTGCTCTCGTTGACGCCTTATTTCCCATACTTCATTGGTAGTATTGACAGATTCCTTCATACCGTGGTTCAAATTCCAATCCTACAATGACAATAATGAGTCCAAAAAAATAGCACTAATCTGAATCCAGTGGTTACTTCATTAAGAACCTCAAGGGTCTATTTGATACTAAAAAAAATGGTTAGTTTCTTATGAATCTAAAATTGGGAATGTTTGTTTTATTATTTAAAAAGATAACATTCCTAAGAAATATAATTTCCTGGGAATGTTTTCTTAGCAATGTTCCCACAANAAGAACTGTGGCGCCGGACAGATATATATTACGAGACAGAAACCAGAGCGGGATCGACCCGCTCTGATACCAACTTAAGATTGAAAAGAAATAATTCTTGAGGGCTTAATTGATCCCTCTCACAATCTTCTATTTATAAGAATAAATTGATACACAAATACATGATAAATAGGGTAATACTAAACACAATATAATCATGATAAATAGGGTAATCCTAGACACAATATAATCATGATAAATAGGGTAACCCTAGACACAATATAATCATGATAAATAGGGTAATCCTAGACACAATATAATCATGATAAATAGGGTAACCCTTGACACACTATAATGATGATAAAATAGGATAAATATCCTAACATAAACCTTTTGAGATGTTGAATACACAACAATGATACATTCTTGAGAATGAAAAGCCAGCTTGTACGAAGTGTGTGACCAGAGTAAAGTAAAACATGCACATCAAAAAGCCCTTTAAAATCCATAAAGAGGTGAAGTCTGAAAAAGATGTGAATAAGATAAAGAAAAGTTCAAAAATGCAAACAGTAATCTATTAATGGAAAACTGCTGTGATGAAAGCGTGATCCCAGTACTTCAGAGGTAAGGAAGCTTGGCTGAGAACAGCGAGACCCATATCAACAAAATGACAACACTTTCTGTCAACTATTCCATTTTGATGACGTTAATGAGAGTATATAAATATGTGATTTGTTTGAGATATATGGTGAAGAGACTAAAATAATCTCTCTACGCGTATTACAACATAAGAGCCTGCATAGAAGTGTCTCAAATACAAAGAAGATACAAAAAGATGGGCCAAGGCACATATATTTAGTTACACTTAATACTCCTCCTCATGTAGACACATAAATCATATGAACGAAGCTTGTTACTAGTATAATCAGTTCTTGGACCCCACAATAATTTAGTGTGGTGATGCCTCTAGATACAATATTTTCTTGGATAAAATGACAATCTACCACAATATATTTAGTCCTCTCATAAAATACTGGACTTGACAAAATATGTAGGGCAGCTTGGTTATTACAAATAAGATTCGTTTGCATGAACTCTCCAAATATCAATTCTTTAAGCAACTGATTGAGCCAAATAAGTGTGGTGGCAGAGGTCATAGCTCTATATCCTACTTCTACACTATATCTTGCTACTACAATCTGCTTATTGCTTTTCCATTTGATCTAGTTGTTCCCAATAAAGACACAATATCTCCTTAGGAGATACAACCCAATTTTCATCTATTACCACAGCAAGAGTGTGATTATTGTAACCACANAAAAAAGGCAGAGAAAAGTCAGCAAGATTAAACAATGGTGCAAATAGAACATACCTGCAGATCTGAATGATGGAATCAGAGTCAGGGCACAATGTTTGGGCCCAAAATTCATAGCCCTAGATACAAAAATAATTCCATGTCATTACGTGCTAAAAAAGATCATCATTAAATAAAACAAATACATGACGTATACAACACAATAGCAACAAAGATCATTTCCCACTACGCAGAATAAGCTACATGAATCAATTCAGACCACTGAAACCTAGGCCCTTCTTAATACTAAGTTAAATACTCTAATTACTCTTATTCTTAATTACTCTAATTACTCCTAACAAGGGCTTCAATTGGTCGTCATAGATTATCAGAATCCTGACAGATTGTACCATGTTTTCCTCAATAAGTGTAACTCCTATTTTCTCGCCAATATACTCATTCCTCCTAATCTTCATATTCTTTTATGTTCACTTCTATATTGCAACGTTGTCATCTATGCAACACTCGATTGTGCTCTCGTTGACGCCTTATTTCCCATACTTCATTGGTAGTATTGACAGATTCCTTCATACCGTGGTTCAAATTCCAATCCTACAATGACAATAATGAGTCCAAAAAAATAGCACTAATCTGAATCCAGTGGTTACTTCATTAAGAACCTCAAGGGTCTATTTGATACTAAAAAAAATGGTTAGTTTCTTATGAATCTAAAATTGGGAATGTTTGTTTTATTATTTAAAAAGATAACATTCCTAAGAAATATAATTTCCTGGGAATGTTTTCTTAGCAATGTTCCCACAACTTTTTTCCCGTGGGGATCTTTCAACTATATAATTCTCACGACACCCTATGTTTGGAGGAAATGTCATTTTTACCCTTCTTAGCTCATTTAATACAACTATATGCTTTTAAGAATAATCTCTTATTAACTGCAATTCAAATTTTCTTTGATTCACGGAAAACATGCATAAACATTTCAAATTTATGACCACTAACATTTTGGTTATTTTCTGGAATCATGGTTCCTACACATTACAAAGTGGCTTTCAACAGCATACTCAGTCATTAAAAAGCAATTTCTTCAGTGTCGATTCTCTTAAAAAATCAATTCCACCAAAAAAGAAGCAACAAGCAACATCAAATTCCTCTACAAACTTAAGAATTTCTAGAAAAACTCATGCAAATATCCTCCCACCCCCAAAATAAGAACACAAATTCACTAAATCTTTGGATTAATAACTTAACAAGTACCTATAATTGCTAGATCTGAACTGACAATAAGGTAATTCACACTAATGACTTTGACATCCTTTTTTGTACATGACAAGACAGAGTAAAATGTTATAAAGGATTTATTTATACTAAGATGACTTGTCATGCTTCTGAACTTAATGGTTAAAACACCTACAAATGGATGTCATCTAAACAAGCACAAACCAGTTCACCCGATCCAAGCAGAACTTTGATCTAACATAGTAAGAACATTAAATGAGGTGAAACTATTCAATCAACAGACTAGACTAAATCCACAACAAAGAAGCATTAGCATAACCTAAGTTTGGATGGCTAAAGGAGCATTTCCTACATTAAAAGCCATCATGGAATAAGGAAAGGTAAAATACGCAAAGGAATCTCCCATTCAGAAAGCTGCATAACTTACTCAACTAAAATTCTTTGGCTCCAGTGTTGAGTATGTGAAGCTAGCAAAATAGATCAAGCTAAAAATACACTTGGCTGCTTCAAAAAAGCTATAGAAAAATTCCCGAAAGAGAACATCTCTCCTTGAATGAAACCTCACTCAAAACTTGAAAACTATAAAATAGGAATTGTGAGCTTCACATCACAACTGAAGCTTGACCAAAAGGAAACCCCTTATTCTTTTACCTCCGTCTTGTGAGCTTCCAGTATATCAATTACAAACCTAAACCATTCCAGAGATGCTGTACAGGATAATATGTAGGCATAAACAGGTACGAGACCATAAAAGGAAGAAATTTCAATAAAAATAAATTTTATTGGAGAAAATAGGGATCCAGTGAAACTAGAATCATAGCTGTAGCAAGCTCAAAAATGATCTGTCAAACCTATACCACAATACTTTAGTAAGAGGATGGTACTGGACAAAATGGCATTTCACTTCCTTGCTAAACATCACAAGGAACCGAGGAAAATGAGTCTACGGGTCTCTACTCAGTAGAACCAGTTAAAAAATAAAATGAGGAACAAAGGAAGAGTTGTGCTTGAGGAGAAATATTTTCCTTCTTTTGTCATGAGATTGTCTCAAAAACTGACTTGAGAATAAATATGATAAAAGGAACCTGAGTGATCTCTCTTTATTGAGTGAAAAGCTGATACTAAATGAATGCGTACATACAGAAAAAAGAGATGCAATTCTCTCTTACAGAAACCTGTATATAAATTAGACAATTGCAACAATTACGAAGGAAAAACAGAAAAGTCAGTTATATGATTGAAAAATAGACCACTAATATAAGAATGATCCAAATAGAGACAGGCTTCCAAATAGAGACAGGCTTCCAAATAGAGACAGGCTTCACAGCGGTTGAAAAAGTCTTACTAAAATCAAACCCAGGTTGCTGATTGAAACCCTCAGCAAACAACCATGACATATATCTTTGTAAAGTACCATATGAATTTTCTTTAACTCTAAAAACCCATTTGCATCCTATGGCAGTTCTATGTGGAGGAACAGGAACAAGAGTCCTGGCTTTATTGCATTGTAAAGCAAGAAATTCTTCTTTCATAGCAGAGAACAAATGTCAATAACAAAAAGCTTGTTTGATGGTTTTAGGTGCAATATCAGCAGCAAGAAGAGTAGGACGAATATAAGATTTCACTATACCAGATTTTGATCTGGTTTGCCTAGGGTTGGTATTGAAAGGTCTAGAAGGAGGAGAAATTTCAGTGTGAGAAACAGTGAAGGGATTAAACAACAGAGGGGAGACTCTAGAAGAGGATGTAGTGACAAAGATTACTAGATCAAGGTGCAGTAGAATGCAATG